ACACATATTTGACATTTTGATTTATTACACTCGAATTTAGGCAACACTTCTAAATTAATTAACTTCCGCAAGGTTTTGTAATTGACATATCCTAAACGAATATGCCATAAATCATTTGACTCCAATAAATAAGAAGAAGCTGCAATTTTATTCATACTGTCAACAACCATTACATTTAGTTTGAAGAGGCCCTCTGTGAGGTAGCCCTTTCCAACATACATTTCATTCTTGCTTACAACAACTTTATCAGAAACAAATACACATTTGAATCCGTTTTTAACAAGTAAAGAAGTAGAAACTAAATTCTTCCTAATAGTAGGAACATGAAAAACGTTGTTGAGCGTTAACACCTTGCCGGAAGTCATCTTCAGGAATATCTTCCCATAACCTTCAATATTGGTTGTTGCAGTATTTTCCATGGAAAACTATTCTTTGGGACCAGCAGTAGGGTAAGTCGCAAATGCTTCCTTGACAGCACAAACATGTCGAGTGGTTCCAGAGTCAATCCACCACTCCTTCGGATTTCCAACTAGGTTGCATTCCGAAAGCATTGCACACAGATCATCAATGTCATCATTCTTCTCCACTATGTTGGCCTGTCCCTTCTTCTTATACTTTTTCGGGAGACGACAATCAGGGGCTTTGTGACCGGTTTTTCCACAATTGTAGCAGCTGCCCTTGAATTTCTTTTTGTTCTGCTCCTTAGTCTGTCCAGAAGACCTCTTTCTCTTCTTACTTTTTGGAGCAGTCTCCTCAACGATATTAGCTCCCATGATCGTTGAATTTCCACGAGACTTCTTCTCGGCTATTTTGTTGTCTTCCTCAATCTTGAGACGAATCACAAGATCTTCCAACTTCATTTCTTTGCGCTTGTGCTTAAGATAGTTCTTGAAATCTCTCCACGAAGGAGGCAATTTTTCAATCATTGCAGCCACTTGAAATGCTTCATTCACGACCATACCTTCAGCAATAAGGTCATGAAAAATAAGTTGAAGCTCCTGAACTTGGGTTCCAACAGTTTTACTGTCTATCATTTTATAGTCTAGAAACTTGGCAACCACGAACTTCTTCAAGCATGCATCTTCAGTCTTGTACTTCTTCTCAAGTGCGTCCCATAATTCTTTCGAAGTATTCATCGCACTGTACAGATTGTACAAGTCATCCTCTAAAGCTTAAGATATAGCCTTTGCAAAGAAAATTCGTCTGCTTCCACGCCTCAGCAATCATGAATTTTTCGTTGTCCGGCATGTCCGCAACATGCACTGGAGGTTCTTCACTAGTGAATTCCTGCATACCAAGTGTGGTAAGCCAGAAGAACACCCTTTGCTGCCATCCTTTGAAGTTGGCTCCGGAAAATTTTCCCGATTTCTCTGCCGGTGGAACAGCAGTCTGGCTTGACGAGGCTATCATCGTTGCCGCAATAGTCGCAGAAGAATTTCCGTTATCAATTGCCATTTTTCACTGTAAACAACAGAAGAGTTCAATTAATGGTAAAATCAGAACAGTAAATAATACTGTTATTAACAAAAACAGTATGTATAATAAATAAAACCGAAGTTTTTATATACTGTTTCACAGAAAAACGATGAAGTTTTTATGTTCTTCAAATCGTTTTATGAATTTCAATACTCTGATGAAGNAAGTTTTTATATACTGTTTCACAGAAAAACAATGAAGTTTTTATGTTCTTCAAATCGTTTTACGAATTTCAATACTCTGATGAAGTTTTTATATCTTCAAATCAGAATAGTAAAATTCAGAAGGAGTAGAAAACCACACAGGTTTTAATCTCCACAAATAAAATACAGAATATAAAAAATTAATTTCCTTAAGAATGTTATAATTCTGTACTGCTGTAATAAATAATTAAACTTTCTGAAAAAATAAAACAGAAAGTTAGTAATACTTGTTTAACAAAATAAATTCTGGAAAAAATAGTGTAGGAATAAATCGAGCCCACTGAATATACAGTGTGTCCTTAAGGAAATTATTCCCCTCAAGTACCCGAGGTGTTGGAATATATCCTCCCAGGATAGAACGATTTAACTCACCGGAGTGTTGGTACCAAAAACGCCGGTGAATAGCGAGCCACTCGAAGGCTGTAAAACACACTAAAATTTTTGTGCAGAAGAAGAAAAAGAAGAAGAAGCTCAGAAAATTTCGTAAGGAAAGATTCTGGGATTCAAACTCTATTTATAGAGTTGATGGCATTGTTTCTGAAAAGGTTTGCAACCTTTCAGAAATAGCCATGGCTGTTGGAACAGGGTTGTTTGAAATATTGCGGGAAAATATATTTAAAATAATCCGAAAAAGAAAATGGGCTTGACCGAACCGGGTCGCGGGTCATGGGTTATTCCGGATTGAATTTTTCGTTAATTATTTAATTAATTAATTAAATAATTGAAAGGAATTTTGTCCAAAAAGATTAATCAATCAATCGTTGACCGAATCTGAAGCCGAAGCCAAGCGAGCGACGACGGCGGCGGCGCGAGGCTTGCCTTCTTCTTAACTCTTTAAGAGCTAGAAGAAGAGCAATTATATATATACCCATCAAACGCCTTTTCTTCCTCCGATATGGGACAATGTCCCTTTGCTAAGGGAAACTCAAATATTTCATTTTCCCTCTATTTCTCATTCACCCTCTTTAAGCTACACAAGCTTAAAATCCCAACAAGATCCTCCATAACAATATATGCAACACCTTGAGGATTACTTCGGGGCGAATACTATCAAAACGCCTTGAGGCTCACATGAGAGGCTTAGTTATGTGAGGCTTACGCCCCCAAGCGTCCGACTATGCGCCTTAAACACACCTAATGCTTAACGCTCGGGGCTCACACAATATCTCCAATTCAAATCATGTGTCGATTTCACTAATTAGCTACTCTGAAAATTCTTTAATAAATGAATGCTTAACGTTCTATTCGTCTATAGGAATACAAAGGTTGTAAATAACTGAAATGACGAACCATAATATTGTATATTTACTAACTGAGAATATCATGAGGGTGAGTATCATTTGAATATTTCTTCTGAAGATAGATAGCCAAAATTTATATCTTTACTTGCTAGATTTTCATGTCTTAGTTATATGTCTCTCAAGATTATCAGACTTTTATTATTTTGCTATTTAAAAGTAATTTTGTATTTACTCATGAAGGAATAATATTTTGAATTACAGTATTGATGAAATTTATTGAGTATTTACTTTTAGGAAGGTAAATTGTGTAGTTTAAAATATCTTTTAAGAAATTATGAGTTTTAAATATTTGAAAGTTAACACGTTTTAATTAATTTTTATTTCATAGTAACTTTAACATTATTGTATTATTTATACTTGTAAAAACATGATAGATATTTTATTTTCTATGAGTTTCTTTAGTTCTTTTTAATTTTTTTGGACTTTTAACGTATCTTTTTATATATTTTGTGTTATTATGCTATATTATTAATTTATAAGTGAAAAATTTTAAGGATTTGTGGGGCTTACACCCCATATCTCGAGGCTTAGAGTCTCCCTGCATCAAGTAAAATGCCTCAGCCTTTTAATTGGCTGAAACTATTAAGTTAAAAGACATTTCATTGAACTTGCCAATTGGAATTTAACTTAGAGGAGCTGGTGAAAATGAAAGACAAAGATGACCATTTTCATTCTTGAAGAAGACAAAATTTGAATAGAGACCGTCTAAATGTGAGAAGTGCAAATGACAATATGTGTTCGTTTGGCCCCTCGCAAAGGGGAGGCAAGTCTATGAATGGTTGGTGAAATCTTTCTGTTTCAGTTCCTTTTGTTTAAATTTTTTACCTTTACTTTTATTTTCCATATTTATTCTAACATAAGACCATTTTGTATATTTCTGTATCACTGGGTCGTTTGGTAGCCGGTTAGAAAGGAGTTATTCATGTATTAAATTTAGGATAACTTTATAAATTATTTAAAATGGGAAAGAATAATCCCCACATAGAATCTAGCATAAGTTATACAATAGTTGGCTAGTTTTTTCTCTTATTCACATAAAACATAGCATTACTTACTAGTACAATGTTTGGTTCACGTTTTTCGTTTTCGCATAACTAATACATAGATAAGTTATGAAGGAATCTATATATTATTTATGCAGGGTAGAAAAAGGAATAACTTATATGTGTATTAAAACACAAAATGACAAGAATACCCTCTATTCAAACTTGTATATATATACATACATATATATACAATATATTAACAATTTTAATAGGATAAACTAGACTAATAATAAATAATACTCACCTTACATTTCTATATTACTAATCTCTGCATAACTAATCCCTGCATAATTATTTCATGCATAATTAATCTCAACATAACTAATCTCTATATTACTAATACATGTGTAACTCTAACCAGCAACCAAACGGCCGCTAGGAGCTTTACATTACAGAGATACAACAATATGTACTTGCACCTGTTATCAGTGGCGAAGCCACATGGTTATAAGGGTGGTCAGTTGTGGTCAACTGACCACCCTTCGTCGAAAATTTACACCGTGTACATAGGTAAAATATTACGTTTTAAAGGTATATAACACATATTGAACACCCTTTGTCGTAAAAAATTTTCACTTTTTTTAAATTTGAACACCCTTGAAAAAATTCCTAGTTTCGCCACTGCATGTTATCATGTACCATTTGACAATCCAATCAATATAGAAACAAGATCCGAATGGAAATTGCCAGGTAAAACTATGCATAATTCTAGCTGGACAAGCTTGAATAATGTTTTAGACGCATACTCTACAAAGCGGTGGCATAGAATTTTATATGATTAACCAATCATTTGAAAGAACCCAATTTTACCTGAAGAAACACCAGCATTCATTTCAAGAGCTTATTAACTAGTAGTAAGAATATCTCTAACCAGAAATATTGCTAACAAAATCAATGAAAGTTATCATATTTAAGAACTAAATATTACCTTTCTCGCCAGTTTCACTTCAATCCGAAACAAGAGCCCATGAAACTGCTAAACACTACATTGATATCTTCATATCATTTCCGAGTGCTAGAAGAAACAGAAGACAAATCCTTCTGACAGAAAGAAAAAAAAAACAAATTAATCAAGGTCCATCACCATGTTTTTCTACATTATTTTAGGACAGGAGTGCTCGAGCTAAATAAGAATGCACACAAGCTTATCTAAACTATGTTTAATCTGTACAACAATATGATTTTGGGTTTCAAGCCTAGCTTTGAGAGAAACAACAAGGACCAAACCAAAGATCGTTTGCTGCCAAACGGCAAGGTTTGGTTCAACAAAGAGCTTTAACTCCCGAAGCTTATTACAAATTTTACAATAGCTTGGTCCAGGATCCCATGAACGGGAAAACAGCAATAAAGAGTCTCAATAGCAATGGAGTTTCTCTCCTCCTGATTCTCTTACTCAATTTACCATCAGTCCCCTGTGTTGGTTCAGCCAGTCTTCGATTAGGGGGCTTTTTCGACTGTCCTTCCATCCCATGATTGTCTAGTTCATCCCAACCACCAAAATTTACAGTGCTTCGTGACTTTTTTCTATCCGATGCACCATTTGAGGCAGCCCAGGATTGATAGTCTCCAACTCCCTTGCCATTTCGAGTATTTTGTCCTTTTCCCGTTCTTATTCCAGGGTTGCTCGCTGCTCTAGCATAGGGTCTTTTCTTTTTCTTGGACTTGGATCGTGGGCCGTCATTGGACCATCCCCAGATGGCATCCATTACTAATGAAAGAGCAGACTGCGCCAAA